TTGTGTTGAGCTTAAGAGGTTGCATGATTAGAAAACATATTCCGCTAACAATGTAACATAACATGAATATTTCATTTCTTATTACGTGTTTGAATCGTTATCTATCGTGTAGTTGTCCGATTTTCGATCACGAACGTTGATACTACTTAATTTCGTTTATCCGACATAATCATATGCAACCAACCATGTCGGATTAACGAGATTTGACTGTAGCCGGAATATTGCTGAGTGCGGCGTAAAACAACAAACAATTAATCAGCCGGATACATCCTAAATTGCTTCCCCATCAATGCGCATGTGAGAATGCACGGGCCGTTGTGACGTTTTCATCTCGGGACAGGTGGTAGGTAATACCTCAGGTTATAGGCCGTTTCATACATGCATGACAACACTCGAATACTTTTCTAAGTTTATCATCATTTTCCTCTAAAAGTTCATTTTAAGGGTAATCACAGTGTCAGTTAGGATTGGCTGGATTAGGTCAAATTGCGTTACTTTGATATATGCTATTTTCTTAGCCCTATGACTCGTCTTAATTAAATGAAGCCAGAAAAGCATGTGTACCAAACACACACACACACACACACACACACACACACACAGAACTATTCTTTTCACAAAATGTTCACAAGGAAACTATTGGCCAACGCCTCCACACATTGGCCAACATGTGCATAAATACAGAGTGATTGCTGCGAAGCAGAATTTAGAAAAAGTAGTTTCTAGGTACATGCTGTATGCTTACATTTAGTCAAATGCTTTAAATTCATTGACGGCATGGGATCAGACAATGCCCCCCCCCCCCCCCTCCACACACACATACACACACACAAAAGAAAGAAGACACACAATGACTGAGAAACGCTCCAATGGGCCTGGTCCCCATGACGTGCTGTTTTGTATCAAATATAACATCACATCATCTGTGAATCGTTACAGCCACAGCGATTATACTTTTACATAATTATACGATCACCAAGAGATTGTTTAATTACATATTGCTACACTTACCTTGTCGTTTTGTTCAACGTCCAAATTAATTCTAAACAGCTTGTTGAAATTAATTTAACATACACAGGTACACTTGATAAAGTTAGCGTCGTCTGCTTCGATACATTGAGTCTGGTTTACGCGCATGAAAAACTCGTGCACCGGAAGTGTTTCGCGATTGGCTAAACTCGTTACCATGACATCACGTGACTATTCTGGTGAACACCTGCTTGAAATATACAACACTTTTGACCTGATTTGACATTTGTTTATATAAATAATCTGAACCGACAAAGGCATTGGCGGTGGAGTTTGTCCAGCGAGGTTAAAGCGTTGACTCGTCACACCAGTTCACCACATGGATACACCATGTAGAGCCGATTTTGACGCCCCTCTCCGTAATATGGCTTGGATTTTGTGAGTCCCAAATTTCGCACATGCTTTATAAATAATAAAAGGTAATTTTTAGCGGTATTCATCATAACAGATGGGAGATATAATACAGTGGATAGTTGAGCATGATCATCATAACAGATGGGAGATATAATACAGTGGATAGTTGAGCATGAGTTGACAAGCGCCTTAACTAAATGCAGTTTAATCATTGTGACGATTATGAATAAAAAATATTATAGAATTATGAACAATATGTATAAAGTATCACACGAGCAAAACAGATATTAACTGAGGGTCAAAAGAAAGAATACCGATTTTGTTTTTTTATGTAATTGAAAAATTGGAATAACTGTTGTTAAATTTGATTATGTCTATTTAACCATCACTCATTCCTGCAACAGTGTGTGAAATGTAATCTGTGGCTGGGTAATTTGTGTAAAAATATACTGGTTCAATGCAGACTGGGGTTGGCAATGAACTTGCAACCACATGACCCCTAACATGTTTGAAATGTTATAAATTTATGCCGAAAATAGCAAATTTATTGGTACCCACCAACAGTTGTGTATTATGTGAATTATTTCTTTTAATTTATTAAAGTTCTAAATTAAATCATATTTTAAAAAATAAAATCATTTTGGGGTATTGTTTGAGTGCTGACAAAACGCAAGAATAATTTTTTTGGGGTATGATATCGCTAACTTAAGATATTTTTAATTAAAAATCAAAGATATGATAAAATCCACAGAGATGTCTAGTTTCCTTTACTCCTCAGTAAGAAGGGGGTGGCGTTGGGGTAGCCTATAGGTGGTTAAAGCGATTGCACGTCACGCCGTAGGTCCGGGTAGATCCGCGTTAGAATAGGTCTTCAGCAACCCATGTTTGCCGTAAAAGGCGAACATGCTTGTCATAAGAGCCGGGATCGGGTGGTCAGGCTCGTTAACTTGGATGATGCACGTCATCATTGTATCCCAGTTGCGTAGATCGATGCTCATGACGTCAATCACTGGATTGTGGGGTCCAGACTCGATTATTTGCAGGCCGCCGTCACATAGCTCGAATATTGCTGCTTTAAACAACTAACAAACAAACCCACATGGATACAATGTGCGAAGCCCATTTCTGGTGTCGCCCGTAGTTATATTGCCGGTGTATTACTAAAAGAGGCGTAAAACCGAACTCACTCACTCAGGAGATATGGCGAAAAGGAGAGACAAGTTGGAGTTACGGACATGTGCTAGGATTAATAATCAGTTTTATAATGATATATACAAATATACTGCCTGGTATCTTTACTTTTTGATAGAGCTTCATAAACACATGTTCATCATATAGTCGGAATCGTACAATCGACTCTGCTTTGTGCAGAGATGTCTATTGCATATGGAAAGGGTTTTGTCGCTTTTTTGACTGTCATTAAATTCCGTTTCAAACAAGAACATCCCTCTCTGAAAGAAGCAAAAGGCCTCACACAATATTTGTATGTTTTTTTGCTGTTGGCACAGTGGTAACTTAGCTGGTACCCGATTATATATCTGGGACCACCAAAATTCATTACCTAGAGTCCCTTGGACTCGCAATTACATAGGTAAGTCCATGTGATACCATTGCTGAGATGATCTATCAAAGTCACTGTCTTTCTGCAGTAAACGTTCCTCACGTGAGAGTTATTCTTTATATGGATGCCCGTTCCCGTATTTTCAGGTGAACAATTGACTTGCCTTTGCATGTGCTTGTTACGGGTGCCACTGGTGGGGCAGGATACGGTCACCTCTTCGCGAACACCTGGTATCATTACTATTTGATAGGGGTTCATGAACACATGATCATGAAAGAGTCGGACTGTACATTGGAATCTGCTTTAAGCAGAGAATTCTTATGAATATGGAAAGGGTTTTCTCGCTTTTATCTATTATTGATACGTAAAGGCTAAAAGCCGTATGGTTTGTTTGTTTGTTGTTGTTTAACGCCGCACTCATATTACAGCTTTATGACGGCGGTCTGTAAATAATCGAGTCTGGACCAGGCAATCCAGTGATCGGCATCGATCCACGCAATTGAGATACGATGACATGCATCAACCAAGTCAGCGAGCTTGACCACACGCAACTTGTGTGCATATGGTGATTATTTTTCACGTAAAGGTGTATACTAGTAGATAACAGGATGTGTTTGGTGACTGAAATTCAGCATGGATGTCATTATGACACATTTCATATATAGGACATCTTTTCCCAGGTTTTCGGTGGGGAAATATTAGAATACTTAAAGGTCTTCGGATTCATCAGTACGCCAAGGAAGGCAAACTAAAAAACGTTCGTTCTGGTTTGGGGACCCAAATACTGCAGCCGACCCTATAATTTCTCATACCAGAATATACTTACTGAAATATGACTTAGATACACGTATAATGCGTGTTGTTTAACACTGCTCTCCAATATTCAAACAATGTGATGGCAGCAAGAAAATAATTAAGCCTGGACCAGACAAACCATTGATTGATATTGTTAGCAATCATCAGCCATAAAGACGGGTATGACACACAATCAATCACGTCAACCAGATCTATTTGGTCACCTCTTCAAACAAACTTTTATCATATTGCGAACTTTCCCGGAGTTGTCGGGGTGATCGATGGAACCCACGTACAAATCCAGGCACCAACAGTAAACGAAAATGAATTCGTAAACCGACATCACTATCACAGCATAAATACGCAGATCGCTTTTGACAGCGACGACAGAGTCATTGACGTTGTTGCTCGGTGGCCGGGATCGACACACGATTCACGCATGTTGACAAACAGCGGGCTCTACCAGCTTTTCGAGCGCAATGTTCTCCCCATCGGATGTCACCTCCTCGGTGACAGTGGTTATCCCTGCAAGAAGTGGCTGCTTACCCCTTTCCGAAGACCATTGCCGGGACCACAAACTACAACAGGTATGTAAAGTTTCGTGTTACGTTGCCGAGCGTAATCAACAACTTAGAGTGATGTCCCTTGTATTTACCTCGATTACATATTTGCCCATTGCACAAACGCAATATTTGGTCTGGATAATCGAAGCAATTACAAAAACATTCTTAATAAAATACGGAATATTATTCACACCATAACCATATGTTTTTATTTCAAAATCTATTATTATGTCTTTGTTAGTTGTTCTAAATGTACAAGTAATTATGCGCTGTTTTGGTAAACATGCTGAATATTTGTGGTGATTAGGAATATTTTTTTTAAACATTACCAGTATGAATTTCCTACATAATCCAAAGTGTAAATTATTGTTTTCACATGATCAAAATTATTTCTTCAACAAGTGACATTTATCAATAATAAGATAAATATATATTTCTTAAACCCTGTTGAAGATTAATGTTACAGGTTACACTCTGATATGTTATGTTTTTTTCAGGTCAAACAAAAGAACCAGGAGCATAGTAGAAAGGGCCATTGGTCAACTGAAACGCAGATTTGCTGTTCTCCATGGGGAAATCAGGTTAAAACCTGAGAAAGCTTGTAAGGTAAAAATTATGATCAACAAATGTTAATTTGTGTGCACTATTTATTTGCCACACAAATAAGTTCAACAGAACAAAAATGTAACAAAGCTAAATGACAATAAATATATAAAATAACAATTCCTAGAGAGGAAAGCAATGATCGAAAAAAGCAACAAGATTTTATTGAGTTACATAATTATTTCAAACATGGTTGTTTGAATTTATGTTAACAAATGCCATTGAGAATATGAAAAGAACAATGCAGTGGCTCATCATCTATTAAAGTTTGTACATGGACATGAACTTGTTCAGATTGACTTGTATCTAAATCAAGTGAATATATATACAGTTTTGTATTTAAGGCAATAACAGGGCAGTTGTAGATTGGTAATGACTAGGAGCAGATAAGGGAAAATTCATAAATATTTGAAGTATAGAATTGTTAATGTGCATGTGGAGATGATCAGGAAATGATGGGGTTGTATGAACTTATTCGTTATTTACATTAACATTTGTATGTTCAACTGAGGCCATGTAAAAACCTAAATGTTAAGTGTAATGATGTTAATTTATCATTAATGATTTCATATTTTAGGTGTTAATAGCATGTGCTGTCCTACACAACATATGCAAGGACAGACATATCCCAGTTCCACCCACTGATGGGCATGATGGACTTGGCAGGCTTGATGGGCAGAATGGAGCTCAAGCAGTGACTGCTCCACCAGTAGCTGCACTCAGATACCGGGAGCACTTTGCCAATACCAACTTTCCATGTAAGATTATTTTATTTTAATTTTCAACATTTCCTCATAATAAATCCAATTTGTATCAGCAGTACATTCTTTGCAAAGTATCTTTAGTTTTTAATCATCTTAATTATGCCTCACCCTCTTAAATATGCAATATTCTAAATGCAATGTACTCTTTCTGAAAAATGTTCCACAATGTTCTTTCTACCAGAATCTGTTGTATCATAACATTTGGCTGAGTATGTATTGTGACATTTAATATTCAAATATATAAATAATTCTTTAATGCCCAAACAACATGTATGATACTTTTAGCTAATTCAGTTTCGTGATTTTCAATTTAAGGTATTCCTTTTTCAAAGTGAGGCATTCAATTTCAAGCTTTAATTTTTGCTTCAACAGAGTTTCCATGGTTGGTGAAGTGAGGGACCCTGTGACATCTGGCTCCTTAGAATACATGTTGGCTCCTTCTGGTTGAGGATGTGGATCTGACATGGCAGTGTCATAAATCTCCCTGAAACAGAAAATATTAAAGTTTTAATTGTAATTTTCACATAAATGTTCTTTTCAATTTCAACAAGCCTGTTGTTTTGTGTTATTATAATGAGAACATTTACATTTATAATCATATCACAATTGACTTAATTTGTGCACAATTGAGGTGTTGATATTATAAAAAAAAAAATACATTTATACTAAATTTTCAAATAATAATTAGGTCCACAGCAAGTGGTTTTATAAGTTATTCATGGTGTAACATTTATACAAAATTTCATGTGATTACAGAACAGCAAGTTATACATATTAGGATCCAGGGAAAATGCAAATACCAAATATTAGTAGTTTCAGTTAAAGCTTTTTAGATAGATGCTAGCCTAGCTAAGGTAACATGAACCTATCTCCCAGACATACTATTCAACAAGACAAAAGTTAACATGAAAAACTAGCCAAAGGTAACAAGATCCCATCTCCCAGACATAATATCTAATAAGACAAAAGATAGTGTTATAGATTGCCTTGAACTATTTTATTTAAGCAAATCTGTCATCACCTATACTAGAATAACATTCAGAAAATACTTCAATTTGGACTCATTAAGGATAAGCCATATACAAGCTCGTCTATAGTGATACCATAATCTCTTTCCAAGCACCCAGTATTTATGTCAGAACAGAACCATGATAATTTTCTAACCCGAAAGGTATCTCATATCATTGATGTACCTGTCAGTAGGTGGCATCAGATCCAGCACCTGCAGCATTGTCGTGTCAATTGAACCTGGCACACCAGTTAGGGTCACGTTGTCCTGGCCTAAGATATCAATGACTGCATTGGTCACTGGGCTGATTGGTGCTGGTGCTGGTCCACCTCCTGTATAAACATTTAATTACAAACTGTAATTTTTTATATCGTTTAAAATTTTATTATATATGTTCGTTAATGGAAGGGATAAGACAATGAAATTTCTAATCATCATCATTATCTAAATGTATTTTGGAAATAATATTTTTCATACAAAAATACACAGAACATTTTGATTGATAATTGATCTATTGGTAATACCATATTTATAATGACCATTGATAGAAGAGTTGTCATGCAATAACCCTGACTTGAATACAGTATGTATGAAGGGAAAGAAAAAGTACTTGCCAGTTCCTTTTGTCGGTTTCCCAAATTCGGAGTACTTGTGTTTTGCCTGGCTTTTCACGTTCTTCCATTTTTTTTCCACCTCTTCCTTTGTTCTCGGGTGTGAACCAGAGGAATTGAGGGTAGCTGTAATAACCTGTAGAGTTAAGGGAAAGTAGTAAGTGTCAAACATACATGATTAAAGCCTAAATAAAACTTAAGTCAGTTAAAAAAACTTAGTTTTCTTGTTTTTTTACTTAAGTTTAGTGGAAAAACTTAAGTCATATTTATCAAAAGACTTAGACTTAAGTTTTGTCATTTTCTGACTTAACTATTAAGACTCACCTTGCGAGGCTTAAATCATGTATGTTTGACTTAAGTCATGTAAAATGGCTGCCAGACGCAATTCAAGAATATTTAATGAGAGAAGAGATATACTACATTCATTAGATGACAATGAACTGATACAGCGGTACAGATTTGATAGGAACAGTATTGTTTATATCTGTGATATCCTTGAGCAGGAGTTGAGTCCTATGACACAGCGGAGTTGTGCCGTGTCCTGCGTTACGAAGGTGCTTGTCACTTTGCGTTATCTTGCCACTGGCAAGTTTCAAATGTGTAACGGTGATGACCATGGTCTGAGCTAACCCACTATATCTCGGGTGATTTTCCAAACGCTTGACTCCCTCACAAGTCACCGTATCCTTCGTAGATTTGTTACCTTTCCTGTACAACCCCAAGAAATAAGACGCCATCAACAGCGCTTCTATCAGACTGCCAATTTCCCGGGTATTGTTGGGGTAATTGATGACACCCACATTCAGATTCAGGCCCCATCAGTCAATGAGAAAGAATTTGTCAACAGGCATAATTACCATAGTGTAAATACACAAATAGTGTTTGACAGCGACGATCATATAATCGACATCGTTGCACGTTGGCCTGGCTCAACACACGACTCCCGCATTTTGACAACAAGTGGGTTATGTCGGATGTTTGAGGGGAACCGGCTACCAGTAAGTTGCCATCTGCTTGGAGACAGTGGCTACCCTTGTCGGAGATGGATCCTAACACCATTTTTGCGTCCTCTCCAAGGACCACAGACAAACTACAACAGGTATAAATATTACTTCGTTCAGTTCACTACGAGCACTCAGCAATAGAGTGACTTCCCCTGGTTAGGTAGAATACTATCTCAAACCTAAAAACGGAATGGAAGAGTTACACATATTTGCTGTAAAGTATTATTCAGGCATCATTCCGTTTAATTCCTACTTAAGTGTCGTAAAATTATGTAAGTAGCAAATCAGGTAAAAAAATATGTATGATTATGTATTCATCAGTAAGAAATAATAATCATCTTATCTCACTTCTCTTTTATGTATGAAAACATACTAGTATGAAGCATTGATTCTATGAAATATAACCACACACATAACAAGAAACAGCAATATTAAGGGGTTTGCAATATGTTGTCATTATAATGACCAATGGATTGAAAATGTTAGTTTCTATCGCTGAGAACATAGCTAAATGTGTTCTTCTTTTTCTTATACTCCCAATTTAAATTTTATAGGATTATCTGCTAATAATGATTATTCATTGCAATTGTCAGATCACATAAGAAAACAAGGAGTTGTGTGGAGAGGGGAATTGGGCAGCTGAAACGTCGGTTTCATGTTTTACATGGGGAAATCAGACTTTCCCCACAGAAGGCGTGCAAGGTATAGAAATTAGAAAATGTTTTCATTTCTTTTTATTCAATTTCAGTAAAAAATGGAGAGTCTTCATAGACTTACACTTTAATGGAATTATTTCTTTTTCACATTATTATTGTCAGGACTAGATATACTGTAGGTTGATAAATAAACAAACACAATACGGTGAACATTAATTTTTTTATTAAATGAAGACAGTAACATTTCATCAATATGACATTAAACTCACTCACTCACTCACTGTCATGTGTTATTGTAAAAAAAGTCAACACAATTTCATAATCTGTATCTGTATTGATGTTCAATATTCATTTTCTTTTGACTTATTTTATATCTAGCTTAAGGGAAAAAATTAGGCAAATATATCTGAGATCAAACAGTACATAGTATAACATATTTGAAATACAGACCATACATTTCACTTTTTGTCAAATTCAACACATTCTAGAAATATTTGTCATTAGATTAAGGCCACATCAGTTCATGAAAGGGTATTGAATAGGCTTTTTAAACATTTTTCTAGGTAATAACTGCCTGTGCAGTGCTGCATAACATCAGCAAAGACAGGAATGTGCCTATGCCAGTTGTACATGGAAACAGCCAATCCGGACAGCTAAGGGCACAGATGCAAGGTCTATCAGCCATTGCACCTGCAGCAACAGGGTTGAGATATCGGGAACAGTTTGCAATCACCTACTTTCCATGTAAGTTATTTCCTGCTACTATTATTTGGCACTCTAAGTATGCACTTAGTATTAATTTAAATTTTCCTAAGGGACAGCCCATTTGATATTCGGGGGTGGGTGGGAAAAATACATTGTTGCAAGGTGTTTTTCTAAAAAAACATTTAGCTCATATTTTTAAATAAAGCGATATCTGTGTCTGTAGCTGAAAAACTATCTAATCTTGACACAAAATATAATACTAGCCCTTCCCCCCAAGCAAATATCAAATGGTCGGTCCCCACTTGCGTGACATGAGCTTTACAGTCTATTCTTCTACCTTGTAAATTTTCTTTGTTAGATACTCTTTTCTTAATTTTAAACATTCAATTTCTAATACAAGTTTTTCTTTGTTTAATGCTTCCATAGAAGTCTGATTCTGGCACTGGCAAGTCCTCTCTGGCACGTGGAACACATTGGCCATGTCCTCAACTTCACCGCTGAAGGAATATATATACATTATTTGTGTATTCGGAGCCTTGTGTTTTGTTTTTATACAGAGACTTGTCAATAATTGCAAATTGACTGCCTGTGGCAGACACATTGGGAAAGAACTTTAAAGAAGTATACTTTAAATTTTGATTTCATAAATATATTTTGGGGATTATGTAACAAAGCTGACAAACATGAAATACTAAGTGATGCAATAATGTTAGTACAATATCAACATCAACATTTATGTCATTTGTACCTCTCTCTTGATGTCATGACATCAAGCAGTTGTAGGGCCGTCGAATCACAGGAGTTGGATATTCCTGTCAAAGACATGTCCCTCCCTATGGCCTCTACAACTGCATCTGTGACAGGACTTACAGGGATGGGAGGTGGTCCGCCTCCTGTAAGTGCAAGAAGCAGTATAGATTATAGTGTGAATGGTGTTATAGTATTTAGAAACATATCACAAAACCAACACAATATAGAGACAAGTACTCTTTTGACCTTCAAACATTGAGATAGGTTTGTCTCAAAGATAGGGTTGTGTTGGGATAATAATACCATTAATATACAGCAAAAAGTTACAATGTAGGTCTTAATAATAACTGTGAAGGAATGACAATATCCTTTTTCCACTTTCACATTAACTATATCATTTTAGGTCACCTTTTTTATCAAAACTATTTAATAACTAAACTAATGTATCCATAAGTATCTTTACCAGTGGCAATGGTTTGCTGCCTGAAATTAGAAAAGGCTTTCTTTGACTGGCTCTTCAGGTTTTTCCATTTCTTTTCAACCTCCTCCTGGGTCCTCCTGTGCATTAAGCTTGCATTGAGGGTGTCTGTAATCATCTGCAATATAAACATAACAACTCAAATGAAAAACACATCAAATTACATTAATAATTTTTGTCAGTATTAAATCATGCTATATGCACACTGTACATTGTACACAGTTTTAAGACTTAATTTCTGTCCTTGTGGTATTAACACTCAAATTGATTTCTGAAATAAAGTACTGATTGAAAAGAGATATCTTTATTTATAAACAGGAGACCAATTATTCATGATGTTTTAAGCCTTTTAATAGTTTTTATGTCCATTGAAATATAAAAATTGAAGTGAATTATGTATCGAGATACATAGTGTATCATGAACTGAGTATTGCGATATGTATCATATTTTGTATCCAAAGCCCAGTTTTAGCAAAGCTGTTTAGACCCAAAATTATATGGGACTGTGTTACTAAGAAAATAATATTATTCATATTTCAGTATATTGTCATATATGTTTTACATTAATATTGTAAACAAGAGTATATGTGCATTGCATAATATAACATTTCATCAAGTTCATAATATGACTATGCAGCACTAGATCGAGGTTGTATGAGATCCATCACAATATATAGTAATATTACTAATTAATGCATAGGAACACATTGATTGGTCTTGATATGGATATGACATCTTGACCCTGTAATAAGTTATTGTTAAATTAGTTAAACTAAGTTAATTGTATGCTTTTGACATGAAAGTGATAGTAATGTTACTTTAGGATACTAACATGAGGCCTAGGACTAATGTATACTTTAGAAGCTAATCCAAATGCCCCAAAAGGAGTACAAAATGACATAGATCTAGGCTACTGGTTTGGGTTCAAAATCACCGAAAACTTTGGGTAAAAATTGTTAGGGGTACAGACAATAGGCCTACCCCGATGAAGATACAAACCACAGTGCAACTTGAGAAAGACGAAAATAATTGTTTGGGTCTCAGTGTCTAAATATGACCAAAATATATCATTCCGGTGGTACCTGGACTTACGAAGTGTGATGATGGAAGGTTGGAAAACGTCTTGGTTATTATTCGACCACATGCATTCTTGGATACGCATTACGGTCTTGTTTGCTACATATGTATGTAAAATTAATGATGTAAGCAGCTAAACATCTCAAAACCCATAAAAAAACACTCACTGCCGCGGAACTTCGACCACGTACCTGCCACGCCTCCTGTCGCTTCAAGGAGGTGATGCCGGGGCCAAACTTTCCTTCAATCACCACCTTGTTTGATGCCACCAGCTCTGCTAGTAGTAACGATTCTTCTTTGGTAAAGTTTGGCCGTCTCTTTTTCGCGTCTTCGGTCATGGCGTGGGCCTATCTTGGAGCTCGCAGCGGTGTTTATTATCGTCTGCGCTGTCCGGGAATTCCCCGATGACGTTGTTCCACTGGTAGGCTAAAAATAGCTGGGATAGTCCTTAGTGATCACGTGTTTGCATTCGGTGAAATCGACTTAGTTTCTCACGGCAGACTTAGCTAAGTTTTTTACTTAGACGCTTCGTGAATACCAACTTAAGTTTTTGACTTGGCTAAGTAATTTTTCAGAAACTTAAAGGTTTTTTTAAAGCCAAAACTAAGTTGTTTGATAAATACCGCCCCAGGACTTAAGTCCGATCTCAGTTGGTTTTTTTATGTGATGTAAGCGGCCTTGGCGCGAGATTTGACTTCCGTTTTCAATGTAAACACTGGACCGTAAACACTTTGCCGTCTGCACATGAGTGGCAACGTGCGAGGCACGACGGTTTAATGTCGATGGTGGCACGAGGAGGCCGAATTGGACCGAGGGGGAGAGGGAGCTACTTGTTGAAGGAGCAGATTTACCGAGGTCCTAAATGCGTAAGTTAATGCACATTAATATTCGGATGTAACATTGAATGTAGAAATCGAAATACCTTGCTGGATACACTGAGCCTTTGACAACGAGAACCATAGCATGTCTACACGCATCCCAGCCGAGACTGTCGGACCCCATCGTGGCTACACGTATTCATAGCCCTCATTAAAATAATTAACACTGCCAAAAAATCACCAATTTTCTAAATTCTGGACCTGCCTTTGTTAATGATGTTGTTGAAAATGAATGATATAATGTTACAGTAGCCTATTTTAGTAAAAGTACATATATCAGTGAGAATTTTTTTAATAATCGAAAATATTGGATAATTTGTGAATGACATATTTGAAAATTGTATATTGAAATGAAGCAAATCGTATTCCAGAAAATACAGTTATTTGTGAATATTTGCAGATGAGGTCAGGAAGCAATATGGTACTTGAAACAGAGATGTATGTTTACAAATGATACTGTTTGTTTTTTGTATTTTGTATGCAACTTGCTATTAATTATTATTGTTTGCACAATTTCATAAATGTTTTCACAATTTCATAAATGTTTTCATCATTTTCATAAATAAATATCCCCATCTTCCCTTGTATTATTCACTCATAACTCACTATAAGAAATATGTTAAAATACCTCCTATTTTTTACAAGAAACACCGACATGTTACAATACAATTATGATACATACATAAGATTATTTAGTCTTGCGTGACCATTGATACAATGCCGAAGTATACTGGTAATGAACATATTGTATTCTAAGTGATGGAACTGTTTATTGACAATGTAGACATTATGTTCTGATTAATTTATCTCAAGTTTACATAACACATTTATCAACAACACAATCTTTCATTGGGTGGCGTCTCCTGCAGTCTACAGGCGACAGGTTTATTCAAATATGTATAGTAGTGCCAGTGCAGTCAAACAGGTATAAACCATCAGAGGTAGGGTTAAGTACATGTTTGCATATGTGCTAATGTTGCATTACTTATTGTGCTGTAGATGGGGATTCAGCTGCAGTTTTACTCCCAGAAGCAGTGACACCAACAGAAAGTGCCTTTTGTGACAATGGTAAGACATTATAATCTTATGTCAATAGTATAAAAGTAGATGTATTTGTTTGTATTTGCAGAAATACAAGCTGCCCCTTCACCACAAATAGTTTTCCCTCCAAATTTTTGCTTGCAACCAGTTCAATACACACCAACAAGTTCAGCATGGGACTCATAAAATGAATCTTATGCTGGTATGACCTGTCGGTGGCCATGGACATCCTTACATACTATCAATATAAGATTCATAAGCAATGAGCACAGGCGAATCATTTATAACATTCTCAATATATATATTCAGTGATCCACATCAACTTGTCCAGACTACTGATATGCAGTATATGATTTTGCATCAGTGTTGCAGGGACAGGAGCATGGATGTCTTAATATCCCTGGTTGGGATACTACATACAGCGCCAAAAGTAACCGAGGCCTCAACATGTACAAGCGGGGAAAAAAACACATTAGATAATAAAGATATGAGAAGAAACTGAGTAAATATTGGCAAGCTAGTTTTTCATTGTTTGCCCTAAATTTGTGTTACTGAATGTAAGCCTGTTTTCAACTCTACTTTTGCCAATTTCCTTCAATGAACTCTTACTTTAAGAGAAATGAAAACCTGTGTGATGATGAGCAGGTATATTCCTGATCCTTGAGTTCAATAACATTACATGTAACCTAATCTTTGCAACTGAACTCATATATTTGGTTTGGCCCCCAAAACAATTTGATCAATTTATTGGAATGGATGTAATATGGATAACATTGATAAGGGAGATAATCTGATTTTTATCAATGTTTTACTGTTAATAAATGTTGAACTTGAAATACTATTGTGGATTTATTTACTATCCCCTGCTATGAAGTGGAAGGGGGACAGATGAATGTGTGCTGTCTGTCTGTCCATTCACATGAAATATGCCAAACTATTGGAGGTATTCTTTCAATAAATGTTGACCATTTTAGTCATGCAAAAATGTTCCTAACTTTCATTACTACAGATGCATCTATACAGATAAATTTCAGTGGAAACAGTGGGTTTATACCACATCAACTGGACACTTATTAATGCACACATCCTCTTACACAAATCAAACATTTTGGTACACAATTACACATGTATATATAATCACATATGATGCACATATTTATTCATGCATCAAATTCACACCTCAGTTCATAAGATGTATCTGCTTACAGAATGAACATTTTAGTCATTCATTAAAACAAGCATCTATGTATGGAGACTAAATCTTACCTTCCATACATCAAATAGATTTATGAAAAGAATGACTCGCATATGTAATTTCTGACATTAACACCACTCCAGTCATTAGCAATGTTGACATTGACATTGGCATTTTCCATTCCATCAGAGGGTTCATGGTGCAAATTAATTATGTCTTTCCTATCAATTCCTATGTTGTGAAGTACTACACATGCTGTGATAATTTGACAGGCCCTCTCTGGTGATGTTCTAAGGCCACTATGTAAACAAGAAAATCGCCGCTTTAAGATGCCAAAGCTTTGTTCTATTAAAACTCTGGTTCGGACATGGCAGCGGTTATATTTTTCTTGACTTCTAGATGCTGGAGAGAGGAATTGTGTCATCAGGTAGGTTTTGAAGGGGTAGGCTGAATCCCCTAACAAAAAACCTTTGTATGTGCCTGTAACATACAAAAATAAGAACACATGACATATGAAATTCTGTCACCCAAATAATATTTGGAACGGCAGGGGAGATAAATTGATAGACATGATCACACCATACAAATGAGAACTTAAGTATTTCACATCATAATGCTGTCTGTCTGCTAAGGATGCTAGAATATCGTGAATGGTGCTTTTACATTTCTTCATGAAAACATTGCAACATGCCAGCGCAAGAAATATTTTACAACTTCAGTGGTTATGTGATCATAATTTATTTCTGACAAAACCAGCTTTGAGAAATATTCACGTTACTTGTATTTTTTTTTAATAGTCATTTGTACCGATGTTCATAGCAACTACAAAGTCTGGTAATCAAATGTGATACCTACCATTTTCAAACGCAACACTGATTCTGCTGTCCCTGAATATCCTGCTGTCATGTACACTTCCGAATCTGTATTCTGCATCACAGATCATCTGAAAGGGAGCAGAGGCCCGTTTTCATTGGTACTGAAATATACTTTCATTTGTAAAAATTGACATAAAATTACCATTATTTGTTAGGTATCATGTAATCATAATTTAATTTTTTGTTGGTGTTAATAAATACATAACTAGTGTGAACCATTTATATACATACCTGAACATTCATCGAAAGATAGCCTTTACGATTCAGGTAGTCACCTTCATTCACCTTTGGGCCTATGCTTCTTACAAATGTGCCATCTACACATCCTAGCACATTTGGAAATCCTGAAAGAAAATGATTTTATTTTTAATTGGTTGGAATCTTGTATTTGTGTAAAAACATTCATCCTCCTAATTAAGGTTAAATGAAGTGAACATAATATGGAACAGCAAAATACTTGTAAATATTACTCAAATAAGCATGTCAAGTTTCAGCTTTATGAATAAACTTACTGATATGATCAAGGTCAATGCACACTACTTTTGAAAATGTCAGATAATTCAAATACTTGTTAATGATTTATTATTTGATAAACATACCAAACATTCTTATTTTTTATTATTTTTATTGGTTAAAAGGATGATGGTGGATGGTAATTTCATATTGATTCATACCTGAACATTTTACACTATACAATTACAGAATGTAGCCTAAGGGAACTATTATGCCTGTTCAAAACAAGGCCGTTTTCTAAACTCCGGATTTTAGCACTGCTCTAACTTGCACTTAGAGTTATGCCCCCTTTACTTTTATAACGTAATGTTAAAACGGTTGAAAGATCGATGAATTACCTGCGATTTTGTGAAACTTCTGTTTTGTGGTGTCTGCGTCTGATCCTGTCGGCATCCTCACAAACTGGTAAGCAGCTGAACATAGACTGGTGCAAACATCTCGGACAGACCGGAAGACCGATGGTGCAGATATTGCCGAGAAGGAGTCAGAAATGAGGGAATAAAAGCCCCCCGTAGCAAGGAATCTCAGCGTAACAAGTACCTGTGTTAGGGGTGGAAGGGGGCTGTTACGTTGAGTGGGTCTTTGCAGTCTGTTGGACACGAGTGACACGATGTAAAGAATCGTTTCCGCCCGAAACCTAAATCTAAGGAACAAATCATCGTCCGACATGTATTCCAGTGGGTTTTCACGATCGGTAAGCCGCCTGGAAATAACCTGTCTCCTTCTCGATCTCCGCTTACGTCTATTAGCAATCGCCATTTTTGTCCGAATAAAAACTTAAGTTACCATGTAGGCTTACTTAAGTTTTATGTGGTTTCGAACTCAGTTTGAGTCGAAAATTGAACTCAGTTTGGTTTGAGAAATGCATTTTGCTGAGTTTTCTCAGATTTGAGTAAAAACTCAGACTTGAGTCAGTTTTTGAACTTAAGTTTGTTTCGAGAAATCGGGGCCTGAAATGGGCTTCACACATTGTACCGATGTCGGGAATCGAACCCGGGTCTTCGGCGTGACGAGCGAACGCTTTAACCACTAGGCTACCCGACCGCCCCCCAATGCTGGAAAAAGCTGATGGTGGGAAAAGAGGTTTTTTGTTGACCATTTATTTCTGGTATAAACAAGAAAACATATTTCATTCTCTCCCTTAATGTTTAACAACTGTATACATAGCATACATAACAAAGTATTATAATTCAACTGACATCAAGATTTGTCCTTGGCGGGAACAGTAACGTTTGGCACAATGGGCTTCAAGAAATGCAGTTTCTTTGTTTTCTTCGATTTCACCTCCGCTTCAGGGAAAACCTTTTTGAACTTTTCAATCTGGACCTTGGAGAGAAAGTCTGCAGCGACATTATCAACACGGTAGACGTGGGATCCCTTGAGACGGATGTTGTACGTCTGACACATGTTGACCATCACCTGGAACAACTTGCCGTACTGACCGTGTAGAATCAGAGGTAAACCGGTCAGTCGGCAGTTGACCAGTGTGGCGGCCTGGAGATTGTCTGTCCAGCACAGTACTCGTTGATCGACAAACTTGTGTTTCCATGTGTAACACGCTGTGAGGAGGGCATAGAACTCGTAGAAAGAAGAATCAAAATGTTTTCGGTCTCCCCATGGAAGAGCTGTGTTGAAGTGATCTGTCCACGATTCAGACATCCATCGTACTCTGTTGTCGGTCTTCGTGAGGAGATACGCTCCAAAGCCGATCAGCGAGGCGTCCACGTAGATCTGGTAGTGGGGATCAAAGTCTTTGACTCTTACACGTGTAGGCGGAAGAGGGGGGTACTTCGGGTGGATGTTTTCGTGTAGGTTATTTTTGGCGGTCATCAGATGGAGAAGCTGAAATAAAATCATGAAATGGTAGACCTGTCCAATCCTTTATTGTGATGCAGATCTCCAGATAAGCTTTTGATGTTTTGGGTATTTTACCCATGCATTTTAAAATCATTGGGTATCAGTAATTCTATCTGGGTATTCAAATTTCTGTTACCCAATAGTTTTTACACATGTGGGTATTTAAGTTAAATATTTTAAAACACTTCATCTAGGCGTGTGGGTTCGAGAGCTTTATAGGACTCAAAAATACCACAATACTTCCACAAGAAAGTGTGATGGCAAATGATCATGATGTGACTGTCATCGTGGAGTTTGGCAGGGTTGACGGCTGCCCGTTTATAATTTCAAAATAAGTTGCAGATTTGCTAATCAAATACGCAGGGTTACTTCACAATATTTTGATGACACGCACAAGTTTTTTTTTGTAACGTATCTGTAATGTTCATTGCGTATTTGATACACTTGGATTTTATTTTACTGCGTATTTCTGCATTTCTGATGCATATTTTACGCAGATACGCAACTTATCTGGAGCTCTTGTGATGTGTGCACTAAGGCTGGGACGGGTAACTCTTGCATTCGATACGAGTACATAGGCAGATGCAGAAGGGAGGGGGAGGGGGGTTGGTCCAGGACGCCCCCCTTTTGAAAACCGACCCGTGAAGATTCCGGGGTAGAATAGGTCTCTAGCACCCCATACTTGCCGTAAAAGGCGACTATGCTTGTCGTAAAAGGCGACTAACGGGATCGGGTGGTCAGGCTCGCTGACTTGGTTGATGCATGTCATCGATCCCGATTGCATGGATCGATGCTCATGATATTAATCAATGGATTGTCTGGTCCAGACTCGATTATTTACAGACCGCCGTCATATAGCTGGAGTATTGCTCAGTGCGGCGTTAAACAACAAACCAACCAACCAACCTTTTGAAAACCAAATGTAAATGTATGTTTTTGGCAGTAAAACTGACTGAGAGAGGATTTTGATATTTTGGACCCCTCACTTTTCTTAATGCTGGATCCGCCCTTGTCGTGAGTACTTAGTAATACCTGTGGTAGTCACATGATATAGTGTTTAATGACAAAAATTCACTAGAACTCCATGGTTACACTTCCAGCTACTAATGTTTGCATTTCTTTCTGACTATGCAGCAATTCCTTTTGACTTTCATGTTTGAGTAAAGATAAAGCATCAGTCAACTTCAGTGTATGTATCACCAGATGGTTTTATGCATGTGTCTAAATACTTTTTCAATTCAATTCCCATTTTGTACTGAACTCGGGTAATAGGGGGTTGGGTACCCAAGAAGTGAATCTGGACTCGCCCTAGCCCATGTATATATACTTTACAACTCTATACCGGAGTGATTCATAAGGAAATCGTTTTTCTTGCTAAACATAAAAATACCTTGTGGTAAGCTTGACCTCATGCTATTGATCAATACAGTTGCCAGTTGCAAAATCGGCAGCTCCGGAAGCACTCGTTAAAACGTTCGCTCATCACGACAAAGACCCGGGTTCGATTCCCCACATGGGTACAATGTGTGAAGCCCATTTCTGGTGTCCCCCGCCGTGATCTTGCTGGAATATTGCTAAAAGCGGCGTAAAACCATACTCACTCACTCACCATGTTGCTATTAAGTGCTAAGCAGCAGTCACCTTGAGTTTGGTGCAAGCCATCAGACACGCAATGTAGACAGAGGATTGCTTTGTAAGCCCAGTTGCAGCAACTGTAAACTTTTGTGGCCAAGGAACGGTCATCCTGGACGTCCACGCAGCATCTCCCTGCTTGCTGCCCACCCTTCTGGTCTCCAGGTGGTAAACATCCCTCGTCACGTCGGCTGCCCGAAAGACGTTCTTCTTGGCCAGCTGTTCCAGCAGCTGTAGAACGTGGGCCTGGGAGGCGGCGTGGACGATGCTGTCATCATCAACATACAGCAGACCAACACTCTGTGAAGTACAGAATGTCAACCCTACAAGATAGTGTCTAAATTCAGACCGGGACTGTACATGTTCATCTTCTAAATATCAGGACTTTTGTTTTGGTGAAGCCCTGTTAATCAGGACTATTCTTCCTGTGAGATCCTGTAAATCAGGATATTGGTCGGGGACTGACCATTTGATATTCTTGTGGAAGCCTGGGATTTTATCAACAAAAATATATTGTCCCAGAAAATTCTTGAAAAAAGTAATTATGCTTCAGACTGTCAAAAAAAAATAGCTATAACTGAAAAATGAACTAATATGTTTGAGAAAAGAAGAAGTTTCAGTGATCTGAGCGTTTGATAATGTATCTAAACAGTTTTTGCCAGGGCTGCGGTAAAACAATTCACAATCAGACCTACAGTGGGTACCCGGGTAGGGTCAGGTAATAGGGGGTAGGGTACCCAGGTAGTAAATTTGGACTCGTCCCAGCCCTACTTCGTGTATATGCAGGCCCAGTTGTAACTGGACAGAGACTAACAGAACTTAACTGACTTATCCATACATCATACAATTACCACTATCACTTTCCTGTTAAGCGGGTCCCTCACTCTAACAACAAGCATGGGGTCTAGGCCACCTAGTCTGTCCTTGACTAACCTTGTACAGCTCGCATGCAATGAGATATGCATTCTCTTCTGCTTGGGTCACACAGCTGTGGACTCCAGTGAAGGTCAAAGCGTAAGGCCAGTTCACCTTGACCTTCGCCTTCCAGTATTGCCCATTGAGTTTCGGAATAAACTTGGTTCTCTGTTCCAGGATATCATTCGAGTTCTCCAACGGCCTCAGTAAGTCTGTGACAAGTTCTTTAGGATTTGGATACTTTGACTTTAGGTCGATCACTGTAAGAGAAACGTTGCATGAGTTACAGAATTTCAGATAAGCTGCGTATTTGCGTAAAATGCCCCCACAAAATATCCGAAACCCAATTACTTTAATTAACTTGCGCACAGAAATACATGCATTAAAGGTAAAACTCAACTGTATAAAAACAGCACACGTAAATACCCAATGAAGTTTTTTCAGCATGCGTAAAACGGAGCGTATTTCCGAAACACAATTACAAGCTAATTTACTTTCCGATTCAAGCCTATATTTAGAACCGTTACATACATTCAAAACATTTCTTTTTTATTCCATCTAAAATTTTTTACTCATTTTGGGAAAAAACCCAGATGAATAGATAAGTGAAAAAATATTGGTTACCAAATGAAAAATGTCATAACCCAATTACAATAGAAGCCTTCGAGTCAATTGCTCAAAAAGTAATCTTGAGCTTGGAGTTACCATACTTGATATATTACCGTTAAATACCCAAGCACTTCCCAGAATAAGGTTATTGGAGATGGCATGTTCCACTTAGTTTAAGCTTCTGAATACTTGATCATGACAGAAATTATTGAAAACTCTGTGTGTGTGTGTGTGCGTGCGTGCGCGTGTGTTAGCACAATGATTACTGAGAGAATATGCATTAATGAACATGATGAATGTGACCATGACCTTGGTTGTTTTTAATTACACAAAATCTTTCTTTTTTTTCTCCCTTTTTGTTTCTGTTGCATATTGCAATATCAATATACAAGTATCATGGTTCTATAACTAATAACAATAGACATTGTGATATGTATACAAGGCACACACATATAAACAGTTATCAAACAAACAATGAATGACAATTTGACCAAAATTTGTTTAAAAAGTCTGTGTTAGCATATACAGTGTATTTGGTTTTGATTAATGTAGGCAGTTTTGTTAAACAGTCAGGGTGGCCTCTTTGGGATTTGGATTTTAGAGTGTTCCTGAAGCATTTGCGATTCTAATGATGTATGTTTTATAACAAAATTCAGCATATGAAGTTTGCAGTTACCAGATGAAATGACCCTACTTTTTTGCATGATTTAAAAAAAAAGAATTCCCTTTCTAAGTCAAGATTACTGTTAATTATTTTTCAAAAGTACATCAATACAAACATAATGAATGTACGTTACTATTTGTGTCTTTCTTCACGTAAGTTAATACTTTTTTTATAACTTTTTAAAGGGTAAAAAGTGCAAAAAACAGCAAAATTGAAATTCTACACAGAGTTATGGGAATTAAATTTCCGCGCAGACAAGAGGCCACTCTGACTGTTAAAACAATATATCTATAAATCATATACTTTTATACAATGATTAGTGCATTTATGGGTCTGTAGTTCTGTGCTGGATAACCTATTAAGACAACATGTTTAGTAATTATATTTTTGACCTGTGTTTTATTTACTGTCAAGTTTTCTAAATCAATCTAGAGAGAGCTTAATTTTCTATATGACCAAAACATGTTCAAACAAAATCTTGGAAATCATTTATCTACTTTGTGTCCACTTTGTAAACCAGACAGAGATAGGAAATTCAATATTCTACATCTCTGCATAGATTACATAGTTAGTGGTAGACCCAGTGTTAAAATAAATGTACGTCAGAAAATTAACTCCATAGCCAGGGGGTAATCTATGTGATGTTATGATGATATTATACTAAATAGCTGCGATATGAGAGAATATAATTGTCGATGATTGAAACCAGAGAAAAATAACATTTAACATACAATTTATTCCCATTTTATACATATTTATTTACTTACACACTACGTATACATAATATATTTACATATTATGTATACACAATAAATATTTATGTATTATTACGTATATTACATAAACATTATGTATACATGATACATATTTACATATGTATACATATTTTAGTTATTTACACCTTATGTATACATACCGTATTCAACGTAATAAGCGCCCAGGGCGCTCTCAAAATTAGAAATAGGGGGCGCTTATTAGAATATTATTTTGAGTTGAAAGATCGTAAATTTCGTGGTTTATGCTAACAGCCTGAAATGTTTACATGCGACGGATATATTTTTCAAGAATTTAATTGCCCATAATTAAGGGTGATATAACACACGAGTGCGTATTATACACGAATAAAAAAGTCTTGTGTACATTGATCAATCGGAAGGGGTGCTGATTGGGATTGTTCACTAGCCAATATATTAGCAAATATCGCCGTGGGCGCTTATTAGAGCGGGGCGCTTATTACGTCGAATACGGTAATTACATACTATGTACACACAATAAATATTTACATATTACATATATAGTTATTTACACATTACGTATACAAAATACATATTTACATATACATAAAACATAAACATATTTACAGTCCTTTGGGTTAGTTGTGTTAGGGATATGGTAGGTTACCCCTAATCTGTCCTTAGTCCTTGGATTCCTTGAAGGAAAACTGTGGCGAACATATTCTATTGCTGCTGCTAAAACTTACAAAATGATTTGTAATCAGATTCCGAATCATCTCTTGCAGACTTTCTAACAGGTCTATGTATGTATGTATGTATGTATGTATGTATGTATGTTGCATGAGTGACCGAGTGCGAGTTTTTCGACAGTCAGCACATTTTAATCTAGATGGTCAGATAGAATAACACCCTGTGATCGACCAAGATTGATTTTTTTTATGATTTCCATACTTGTGTATGAATATACTAGTAATTGTGATCATTAGGCCTAACCTAAGTTATATTTGCCAAACGCATACCAAAATATTATATATATAATTTTTAGGCGAGTCGAGTCACATGTTTTTAGGCGAGTCGGATTTTAGGCGAGTCGGGTGCAACTCACAGTGAATCGCTAAAAAACACAGTGTATGCATCGGCATGCCAGTAAAATGTGAAAAACACACATCCCTGGGGACCTTTTCAGGTTACCGATTACAGGTGTTGGAGAAAATATGCCCCGAATTGTCGTGTGTACGTGTGGTACTTTGTAAACACTACCTCACCTTCGCTTTCACCTGGGACGTCGAATATTCGATGGGCTGCAACGGTTTTGCTGATGTGTCTTATTATTCTGATTCTTTGACAATGTGATAAACATATTTGTTTACATAGACCAACACTTAAACTTGAGTAAGGAACAGTCAGAAATCTGGTCCCCAACATTCTACGTCCATGACAGGACAACGATTACATGCAGAGGAAGCTAAATATAGTTATAACCGCCATTGTTGTTTACGTCACGTGATATGAGGTGTTTCGCATCGGCTCGTGCTGCGACTTGTTCGCGGGAGATTGTCAAGCTCATTGTCAGCGCGTGCTACATTTATTATGCTGGCAGGGAATGACGATAATGCCGCGAGGAGCCTACATATCCATGCGCGATGCTCCTGATGTCAACATATTTGTAGCTGCAATAGTTTTAGGAGCTGATTCACAAATAAGTATTGACAGTGCTACGACCCCAGCATGTCTGACAATATGAAAACATCCAATTTTTTATCCTACTTCTCTGTCGATCATGTCAACGTGCGAGACGGTTGACCGCTACTAAAAGGGGATTCCCCAGTTATAAATAGACATTAGCTATACGCTGGTATGATGGTTGGTCGGGAAATAGGCATTGCACAACCGTTACAGGAGATTATCGTTAGCTGCTATAAACTGCCCGGTGTGTGATATTCTCACCATATAGAATCAGAACACGACTAGGTATAGATGTGCTGAACGTGACACTGCCGTAAGCTGTTAATATTCGAGATGAAAACGGAATACACCCAAGTTCCCTATCCCGGAGGCGCGAGACGCTTGCCCGACCTCTTAACTGTCAACACCAACGGCATCGACGATGCCGATGTCGATACAATTTTGGACATGACAGGTCTTTCTTCGTGGAAAACCGCCACCCAGAATGTCAATCTGTCACTGAACAAAAAGGGTCGCTGGAAAATAATCGAGTCTCTAAAACAGGAAATGAAGAGTGATGTTTACAACGAGGAAGAGTTTACCTTGTATGTTGTAGAGAGGGTCTGGGTAAACGGGGCTGCCAACTGCGAGTGTATAACAGGGAGCAAAGGCAGTGAAAAAACTTACTATGGCGGTTCGTATTTTTTTAATACCGATGATTTTTTCCGAAGGCCGAAAGACATAGTGAACAGTAAACATAAAAAGAAGGCAGGGGGAGATAAGTCTGTCTCACCCCAAGCCTCGGAGAGTGACATCCCTTCCGCCACGCCCGAGATACGGATAGAGGTAGTTCAACCTCACTGGAAGATTAGGATGTCGTCGGCCCCTGTGTCAACGAGGCGTAGACGCAGACGCGCAAAATACAACGACGTAAAACCGATTGAAGGTAAGACCCCGTTAATACATATATATGGTAACCGTGGGCTCGAATCCCAGTCTCTTCCTGATCACGTTAACGGTTTAGGTCCATACCGTGGGTTTTACCAAATACGGATAATAATCATGTTGACGTATTATTTTCCACAAACATACCAAATCATTTATTTACGGGTTTTGTTTTAATTTTTTTGTTAAAAATACTTTATTTGTATCTCAATTTTGGAAATGTGTCCCACTTCACGAAAGACTTTAACCCCTCTCGACTAAAGCGATAAACGTCTGAGACCTGCATCACTTCGGGCTTTCCTCCCACATCAATCAGACACGCCCTGACATAACTGAAATACTGTTTAACGCGGCACTAAATTCAACTCACTCACTAATACATAGACAATCGTTCAGTAGGCTCCATTTTGGTAACGGTTAATTGTTACGTCACACGTTTTTAATGAAAAAAGGCTTGATCGAACAGATGGATTATTTGTTTTTGTAATGGATTTGATTAATTTAATACTTTTCATAGAATAATGCTTCATCGCGATAGATTAATTTAATATGTTTATGCGAAGCGTATATACATCTGTACGTGTATATAGAGGGTGCCATTATAAAATGGAGTCTTACTGACAAACCAGTGGTTTTTAAATGAGCAACGATCCACAACATCGGAGAATTTGTATATAAAAAAGCCATGCCACATAATATCGTCAGAGGTCACGCTGGATTTTGCAAACGGATAAACTTATCTGAGCCCGAAGAGGGATAAGAGTTAACAAGCGGATTAACTGTATACAGTTCCCTTTATATTCTACTAATCACTCACACAAGTCGAGCAATGTAGTCTTTGGTATAGCAAAAGAGTGATAATTAATATTATTAGACGTCAGTCGCATTATTAGTCAGTTCACCGAAGAATGCGTGTGCTCAACTAATTTTAGGTTTGTTTCCAACTCGGATTTATGTTTCGGATCAAGAATATTGAAAAACGTCAACAAAACAAATGTTTATTTTCAAATTCATATACACTGTATATGTGACAAAATATTACTGTTTAGTGTTTAATTACCTCCACTTTAGTTTTATTTTCAACATTTATTTCATGATGCATTCAAATAAATATATAATTTAATATAATAATATACATATACATACATATAATATGTATACACTGAATTCGACCTTGCACAATGGCCGCGTTTGACCCCTCGATCTGTTTGGTCGCCTCTTACTAGCGGTATAGGTTGCTGGGGACCAATTCTAACTGACCAACTAAATATATATAACACCTGAGTGTGTTTACACTTTCCAGCGAATAAAGGTTGGTCGGACTGGTCGACTGAAAGAAAACCAAAGACCACATCTAAGCCAAAGAGTGAAAACAAGAAACGTTTACCAGTTCTGTCGTGGGATTCAGATCATGATGTTGAACTCCCGCATGCCGAGTCACAGGATGAAGATGAGAATAATGAACATCCAAAGTTCAGTAAGGATGTTGAGTTTGAAGAACTTTTCGTGAAGAGTCTACCTTGCACCCGAAGGAAAAGAACTCTTAATCCCAGAAACGTGCTATCTCGGACAAATAAGGGTAAGATCATATACACTGACAAGGATGAATTTGCAATGAAAGGTGCAGATGTCACAGAAGCAAACACTGATGAAGATTCAGATTCTGGTCTTGGAACTACTGAAGTAATTGGAGATCTTGGAACTACTGAAGTAATTGGAGAAACGAACAATGTTGTGCCAGAAGAGGATGATGTTACTGTGGTGTTCAAACCGGATGATGTTGCACCTGAAGCGTTGACTGCAATCTTTGGTGAACGGTACGTCGAGTGCGCATGTCACCCACGTCGCTTCCTGTTGGTTGCTATCCGCGAAGTTCCCCACTTGCTTTTGACCCCACATATAAATTCGAAAAAGAATCGCTCCAGGAATGAATGGGATAGACAACAACGCAGGAAGTTCGTCACTTCATTTTCACAGACAGCCCGCAACGTAACGACAACTGGCTTCTTGTTGTTTGAAGAAAAGGATGACGGTAAATTTAGGTAAGCGGCACCGTGAGTTTGTTTTTGTTTTATACATTCTTTTTATACATCAGTACAAAAAGTCATGGCAACTAGATAGACGTGTTTAACTCCTTTTTGCCAAGTGTTTCTCATGTGCAAGGAGGATACATAGAGTTAAGTCCCTGTATAGCCCACTGAAAATGTCAAATTGTAAAGGCGCGGAAAAGTTTTCAAATATTTGTGGGAAAAGCCGATGTTTCCCAACGCCAAGAGGACATCGAGGATTGCAATCATGAGCCGTGACCCAAAGTAGATTTCTTGTTTGTGTTTTTGTTTTTACCTATCTCCTAAGAAATGTTAGTGTTCAAATAATAGAAAAACGCAACCCGAAAACCTAAAAAAATCAGCCTAATTTACCCATTTGAATGTAGCCTTGCTTCATCAATATACTGCACGGGTTTGAATGTGTACTCCACTCTCCCATCAGTAAACGTAGTGTATACAAGATGGTGAAGTATTGACGATGGCCTTACCTAAGAGATCAAGATGGTTGCTTGCAGTTGTTGAAGGGAACAAAGTCTAATTCTCATTCATATGATTGATTGTTTGTTGTTTAACGTCGCACTCAGCAATATTCCAACTATAGGACAGCAGTCTGTAAATAATCGAGTCTGGACCGGACAATCCAGTGATTGACATCATGAGCATCGATCCACACAATTGGGATACGATGACATGCATCAATCTTGTCAGCGAGCCTGACCACCCGATCCTATTAGTCGGCACTTCCGACAAGCATAGTCGTCTTTTACGGCAAGCGTTGCTGAAGACCTATTCTACCCCGAATCTTCCAGCGTCTTATTCATATGAATGAACGCATTTGATATGTTTCATAAATATTTGTAAAGGGTTAACTGATTTTTTAAATTACGCATTCCCAGAGGGCAAACAGGGACGGCAGCCTCATCACAGAAGCTATATAATTATGTGGTCGTATATCGAATCTCTGCTGGACTAAAACTACAGATAACTGTTAACACGGCGATCTGCTATCGTTATTTTAAATGACAAAAAGATAAAAGTTCAGACATGACATTTTCAAAAGACTACACAATTCAAATATTCTTGTCTTGTATGCTGCAGCTTCCGGCTGGAGACTGATGCAGATCTGAACAAGCCCCTGTGGATGGGGGCAGCCCAGGAGACGGAAAAGTGGTCCCCCTCGGCTCTGGTCGACTGCATGTGCGATCTGCTCCAAAAGCACACCAGCACAAGGTAGTCTTGGAACAAGCTTGTTGTGCATTCAATACAAATATACAGTGAAATTAATAATAAACAAATACTTTTGCTGACATAATTATTACCGAATATAAAATATATGCTTCAGTGATGGGATGCACATAGACATACATAAAATTGTATGGGCGTCTATACTTGTAATTAATTAAGTCCGCTTGGCTCCAACTGAGAACGGTGAATTGCAAAATAACTCAAAATCGGGAATAGCCTATTACATGTCAATATGGTACACGGCAATGAATATTCCCATGAATGGAAAAGTTGTAATGTTATGTGTACGAGTTGACAGTTTGAACGGAGGGGGACACAACGGTAGAGGGAACACATGGACTGCAGGTTATTCAACATTCTTCAGAATAATAACTTTTTTGTTTTCCTTTTCTCTCTAACAATTTCTTATAAAGTACCATTATATTTGTTCACAGCACGAGACTCAAACCCTTCAGTGTCGAACGACCAAGCCCCACGTTCCCTACTTTGAGTAATCTCCTGAGCTGGCCAAAGACTGAGAGTTATCTCCCTTCCACGTTCCCTGCCATCCCGTCGAGGGAGGAGCCGGTACGTTGAACATCAGATAGCATGCAATCTCATTAAAATCAGATCTCAGTTCACGCTACCGCTAAGCTTTGTTTAGCGGTAGCGAGAACTGAGGTCTGATTTTAATGAGATTGGATACCATGTGTTTTGCAAACTCGCCAAAGCTGTTTCAGAGTGTGAACAGAATA